AGAGAGGAGAAGAGGAGAGAGGAGAGAAGAAGAGAGAAGAGAGAAGAGAAAAGAAGAGAAGAGGAGATAAAAGAGAAGGAGAAGGAACCTTACTCTGCTCAATGCGGTCAAAGTATTGGGGTATCGAGGGAGGCTCCGTGTGGAATGTCTCGTGCAGTTCCAGGGCTTGGCCGATGTGGAGCTCTTCCAACTCGTCTTGGTCTTCGCGTGAGCACGCACTTCATTTTGGAAACGACGTTCTGCGGATATACATACCGAATAGCAAGCGGGTTGAGACGGGCGAGAGTTTCAACGATTCCTGCAAGGCTTTCGTGTAGATGTACGTGGCGGCGTTGATGGTCTGGCTGACCCCAAACACGGCATGTGCGGAGGGAAAGCCGCGTCGCAGGGGGGAATTGTCTTGAATATCATCCAGCCTACCGGACGTTGCGAGTCATCAGCTCCGCGTCGATATACTACCACCTACAGACAGAATGGTGGAATGGCGGCCGACTTACATGAGGGACACGTGATGGAGCACTCCGACCACGTGCCGGATGATGGAGAGACGGGTCTCGGGAACACCGTACCAGACGTTCAATGCATCGATCAGCTTGTCTCGAGCCCCCTTGGAGGGCAGGCTGGAGATGTACGTGTAGGGTGCGAGAGCGAGCTGGCTGGGACTCATACCTGTTCTCGCCGTCGCGTGGCCGTGCATGTCACTCTTGAACGACACGGGTGTACAGACTGATTCGTCCACTTTTTCGGATCCGGCTCGCTCAATTCCTTCTGGCGATGAGCTTGAGCTTTTTGCACCGGTTTCAGCCTGGGAAGAGCTGTGGATCACCGAATATGGGGAAACCGCTTCTTGTGCCCTTGCGTGGCCATCGCCATTGCCATGAGCCGAAGCAATCTCGCCGCCGTTTCCAAGTCCATTGGCTGGTCCCGGGGATGTTTTATGGTATCGTGGTGAGGTGGCACCCCAGAGGGCGTTTCCTCCCGTTGACAGCTCCAGCAAGTCAAACCAGCGGTGAAATTCGCTACGCGGAGAACACGTTTCCATGAACCGGTCTCTCTCTTGGCAGTATCGACGCTCGTACTCCAGGGTCTTGTCGTACAAGATCTTCTGGGCGGTTGGTTCGTCCACGTCTTCGGAATTCTGGACGATGAAGATGGCATTGACGAGAGAGCCCGCATTGCCACTGGCGAAGGCTTCGAATTCTTTCTTCCACGAAACGCAATCGTGCCAGAGGATGTGTCCATACATGATGATGTCCGAGATGTACTTCACACTCTCGATCTCTGCTCTGGTCATATCCGTATCGGACACGAAGCGCATCATCACGAGGAAAATGCTGCAATCGGTCAGAAAAGTGAGCGGAGGAAGCGCGAGACAGGCAATGGGGCGGAAGGGGTCTTTTACTCAGCGCCGGCGTCGACAAGACGAAGCTTCAGATACTCATCGAGGGTCTTGGCAGCATCCCTCTCCTCGGAGCTGACCCCGAACTGCCTCTTCCATTCTTCCAGAAGCCAGGATCCGATTGGCGCGTCCATCTCCAGAGCTTGCACCGCAAAGCGGGCTTGCAAGGACTTCAACGCCAGGCTCTGGCCGGTCCTCTTATCACTCCCTGCATCGTCTAATGACCCGATTAGAGTTCGGTTGCGCTCATCGAACTGCTCGATGTCAGTGGGACTTCTCGTTGGAGAGACCAACCCGTGTGAGCAAAGATGGATAGATTACCTCTTCTGACGTCTTGGCATTGTCTGCGAGATCTGCTCGAAGTTAGGCGGAGGATGGCTACGATATGCGTGCGTAGGAAACACTCTACCGTCATGCATGAATGCGAATTCGATCATGAAGCTAGCGATGTACAATCGCTCGGGGAGCGCTTCGGGGAACCAGAGGGCCATGGCATTTCCCGCCACTGGGTTGATGCAGCCGGGACCCTGGACGACGGCCGGGCTCGCACCAGCCCGCACCATGTCGGCTCTGATGTCACGGCAAGCGTCGTCTGCGATGGAGGCATGCTTGCTGATCCGTGGGCGGAACTGCGTTGGGCAATTGGCCGCGATCCAAAGGTCCTCGGGAAGCTCGGTCGAGTGTCGGTACCCCATCGACTCCGCGGTTCGTGAAGGCATCCTGGGAGCTAATGCAGTGTTGAGACTGGGGTGCGAAACAACCTGGGTCTTGAAAATACATATACGGATACATATATATATGTGTGTGTGTGTGTGTGTGTGTATGGGCACTGGAATTCATGCCATTTTAAATGAGGAGAGATTGGTAGGGTCTGATGCAGATCATGCAATCATGACTTATGAAGCTTCCGTATAGACTAGTATGCGAGAGCGCAAGGGCTACAACACTGCGCAGTATGTTCTCAATTCCAAGTAGGCTTTTTGAAACAATCAACATACCCACCTAGTCTCCGGTCCCAGTTGACAATACGAATCGACGGAGTAACGCAGCTCGGTACATTATCGGGTCGGGAAACTGGTTCAATCTTCCCTCCTTTTTAAATTTTCTGTTGGCTCGGGCTCGGGCGAGGGCATATCTTAAGAAGAATGTCATTCCTCTAACCCCCGAATCTCTTTTTGCGTTTTCGGCATTTCCTCTTTTCTGTGAACGTTGTCTGTCGCAAGCGAGTCTTTATTGACTTCTCTGACTAATCACATGATGAGATGATCATGAGAATGGAAGAAGCTTTCCGCTTATTCAGCGCTCGAGCAACAACTCCCGTGTCCATCTTACTGACCACTTCCAAGGAACCTTTCAATTGACTTCTTCGAAAAGCCCATTCGCACTATCTCGCGTTGTGGAATTCTCTCCGCATCCTGTTTGTTGATTCGGGCTATCCGGCTAGTAATGGCGGCAATACCCCAGATTCCGTTCCGCTGATTCTATTTTTACTTTTATTTTCTTTTCCTTTTTTTTTTTTCTCATATTTTTGAATGAAAAAGAGAACGTTCCGCCAGTTTGTTTGATCTGCGCTTCTCTATCCCTACGTCAAGTCTCAGAGGATAATTGGCAACGATCTCCTTCCTTCCTTTACCCACTTGTTCACATCTATCGGTCTCTTGAGGGCTGAGACACAGGATAGGACGAAGATAAAGTGGGTGGATACTACGCCAAGCTGGCCGTAAACCTGTGAATTCACTTCTCAGCCTACGTATTGATCATTGAAGGTCTTACTTCATTGCGAGCTATATATATTGGCACGTGGCAATGGATTGTGGGCTCGAAAGACCAAAGAAATTAGCATGGGCTGAACGCATCTCAATGTTATTGCATTTGCGTTCTTGATCCGGGTCTAGTGTATATACCAACCCTCGCCGTTCACGACGAACTTGACTTTGTGGACTGGCTAGCATCATATCCTAGAATGTAAATGCCGATCCGACAGCCCAGTAAATGAGCTTCCCAGCTGGAACCCAAAAATCCAGATTCATTTTAATTATACGAGCGAAAGAATGACGGTGACTTTTCATCCATAACGTCGAAAAGATACAGGCACCTGCAGATCGTACAATCGTAAGTTATTTCTTACTCAACACGTCTCTCGTATTCCTCTTTATCGGTTCTGCAGGTAATCTGGGGATTCTCCGTACAACGCGCAGCTCTGCTGATCGTATCAAAGCCGGTCCCCACATCCCGGCGGGCATTCACCTTCCCGAGACCTTCTCTTGATATCGATGCACACTCGTTCCATTTCCTTCATCAATCGTTTCTCCCACCACACTCTCGGTCCCACGCACCGTCATCTCGACCAAAACCCCTCTTCTGCGGGGAGATATGGCTCAGACCCGTGTACAGCACGATGCTCGTAACGAATCCGAACAGCCAACCGAACCCGTACAGGTTCCTGGCGCCTTCAGGTATGTCAACGTCGCCGGGACTGATGGGGAGGGCAAGGCCGGTGAGATTTAGGACGACGAAGACGAGCATAGCAAGAAGTGCAATCCAGTTGGTGCCAGATGCATACTAATAATAGCATAGCAGCCGCGAGGGTCGCACTGCTGTCTCTTCACCGGCCAGTAATCAGAGCTCAAGATGCCAGCGATCGGAGCGAAGAAAAATTGCATATCCTCCCATGAAAGCCAGGAAAGTCTGCGCCGAGGAGAGCTTCTTTCAGGGAACGACGATGCAGGCCCCAACGACGGCAGTAATCATGCACCCGCGCTCGATGTTGATCCGTTTCGGGAACGTGACGCTCAAGTCATTCGCCGCCGATGCAGAGTTAGCGGTGGTATTTTTCCTTGCTGCATTAGCACCGAGGAATCAGAAATCATGCCATGATCAACTTGCGAGAATCAAGCGTGAAAGTAAGGCCCTCCGAACTAAGGTGGACGGATCCTACCTTATGCAACATTACAAGAGGCAGCTGCGAAGAAAGCTGCGGCTCTTCCTTCAGAGCCAAAGGCGCGCCATTTATCAGATGATAACTTAGGGATTCCAGATTTGCTCACTATAGATTGATTAACTTGGGTGGCAGGTGTAGTGATAATATCGATGACTGCGCAAGCGGTAAAGTTGATAGGTAGGATTGGCGGCTGGATAAACTGGCCTTGCGGTGAGAGCGTGTAGGGGGAGAGGTCCGGGACGTTGCATGCATGCGAGTGTTGTGTTGACTAGAAACCAGTCACGGACGAGTTGCAGGATAAGAAGAGGTAAGCTTCCGTGGACCCGTTAGCTTTGCGAACGCACCAGATCATGTCTGGTGGCGAAAGCGCTGATCGGGGCTGCGGTGAGCTTTTGTGGCGAATGCGTACCGGAGTATTGGTAGGCGGGATAAGGAGGAGAGGCAGCTGGATGAGCAGTTAGTTACCTGGTCATCATCCCTTGCGTTGTATTCCCCGCGCTTTCTGGAAGTTCGCTGCTGATGTTTTTGTGCAATGGTCAGATGGACTGGATCATGATCGTTATATACTAGGCGCCATTGGCGTCCTGGATTCCAAACCAGAACATGGCAAGAATAGCACGACATACAGTCGCAAGGTCTGCGAAATAGTATCTGAACGAGGATCTAAAGCCACCAAGAAAGGAGTGTGGAGTTTAGCGCCAGTGGCACCGTTGGGAACCATGGGAATGGCAACACAGGTATGCTAACGAGAATCTATCATAGTATCAACCAAGCACTCTCGGAACGCAATAGATGTGAGTGCAAGCGAAAGTCATTTTGTCTCTACGAGAATTCTTATACATACTCCGACGCCAAGAAGAAGAAAGCAGGACGTACAGCAGGAATTGCCTCCTTCCAGCTCAATCCCACAGTTGAGATCGAACTCGCCGTCTGCCACGTCCATGGACTGATAGTGTCTGTCGCTTAGGATGCTATCCAGGTCCATATACTCCAATGTCTGATTCTCGATCTTTACAGGGTCTATACCTTCATTCGTTCATACATCTTCTGGTGCGAGAGTTGACTTTTGCTTCGGCAGCTTCCCGCTTGAGATTTTGGTATAATGCTCCCTGAGCGATTGACCTGTGGGGATGGATGTAAGATATCTCCGTGGGTTCTTCATGATCTGCGTATGCGGCGGCAAAAAACTTACATGCGAAATAAAAAAAACAATCGAGAGTGAGATGGAAGATGGAGGATAAGTAAGAGGGAAGGACTACAATGTAAACTTCCTTGTCCAAGATGCGGACCGCTCCCTTATGCCTAAAACCCCATCTCATCTTGTAGAGAGACCTCGCTAAGAGAGCCAGCGAGGCTAAAATTCCCTTCCGGACTCGATAGACACATCCCATTCCACAATAGAGGGAACGTGGATGCAAATTCGCTGTGTAAGTCGGACAAACCAATTCGAATAGCACTTACGGCTGGTGCGGCAAGAACCAACAGTTAGTAAGTAAATGAATGACTGCGAGAGGCTGAAACGCTCGATTCGCTGTTATACATCTCGCTGATCTGCCCATCTGCTCTCGCCCCCTCATATCTCATGCATCGGGCCGTGGCAAAATACATCGCCCTAATATCTAGAATTACAGTTCCACCCTCCACCGGGTCCCCTTCACATTTACAACTCATCCTCGGTATCAGTGATGTAGTCAAAGTCATGCGGGACCTCCGCCTCTCTATCGCCCCCCTTCAGTTCTGAACCCACTTCCTCCCGGACGGCCCTAAGCTGGCTATCCGCAGACCTAGCCTCTTCGATCATACGACTGAGGACGAAGGACTCGTTGCGCATATCCTCAAGGGTTGCTAGCGCGGCGGCCTCGTCGATTGGAGCATCCTTGGCCTTCTCTTGGATAAGAACGACCTCTTGGTCGGGTTGGGTATCGATCATCATGATGACACCCCCGGTAGGCTTTTTGACAGGCTTGTAGCGGACCGCTGGGAAGCTGATAAATTTCAGTTGGGCTGGAAGGACCCGGGACATGTTCTGCATCTCATAGCCGACCTTTTCCTTCTCGAGCTTCTTCTTGGCGAGTTCGGCTGTGGTGGCATCCTTGTCGCTGTCATCTTTCTTCTCTTCCGGCTTTCCATCTTTGGCCTCGTCGATATCCATCTTATCATCAGTAGGTACACTGACCTTTGGTGTAGTCGGCGTCTGTTCAATGTCCATGCTCTCACTACGTTGGGCCTTCTCCTTCTTCTGGGCACGTCGCTTGGCTTGAGCTGTTGTCGAGAGGACAGCAGTAGCAATGAGAGTTGGAGCTTCATCCGTCTTGACCTCCTGCTCAGGTGGGTAGTCGAACAAGCTGGGGCGTGTAGCGCTGTAGAAGTCGAAAGCAGGAAGATCGAGATTCTCATTGAGACCAATGATCGAGGTTGGAGTGAAACTCAGGGACAAGAAGTGGGTAAAGGGGAACCAGTACCAGTACTGCGTGAAGACGGCCATACCGACAATACCAGCCATGTTGAGGTTTCCAGTCTGTGTTTGCAGCCCGATGGTACAGTTCCGTCCACCTGCATCAATGATACCTAAAGCCAAGGCACAACCGAACTTGGTCATGGCATCTTCGTGGCGGTCACCGACAATCTTCTTTAGGGTCTTGCGGATCTCGGCCACTTTTGGGTTCATGGCCTCATTCTGCTGAACCATGATCATGGCCAGCGAGATCAATGCTCCTTGGCGAACGAAGTCGGTTGGATCCTTGGTCATGGGCTCCAGCAAGTCAATAGCCTCGGCCAGACCAGTGCCAGCGCAAGAGATGCCCAAAGCCATCGCCGCACCGTATCTCACGTGTGGGTTGTAGGACTCGGACAAGAGCTCAACCATGCGAGGAACACTGCCAGGCTTGCGGAACAGGATGAAACCCAAACTCATGACCGCGATTCGGCGCACATCGTCATTGACATCGCTGACGGCATAGTGAAGAAGCTTTCGGACAGCCTTGTTGCTCCCGGTACCACAGTATGCCAAAGCAATAGTCATGATACCACCGTAGCGGAGCGTTGGGTCGGGATCTCGGAGAAGACCCTCAAGGAGTTCATCGGCAGCTTCTTGTCGGCCGTACATGATCAACGCCATTCCGAGGGCGAGTCCACGCACAATCTTCTCGTGCTGGGTTTCATGAGCATAGGTGATCATGTCCTCCAGAGCCTTGATGTTTCCTGTGCCCAACATGATGAGACCCATGGCGAGACCGACCGCCTCGCCATTGAGAGCCGAGTCGCTGTAGAGCACACTCTTCAGATTATCATAGATCTCGTCAGATCCAGTGGCCATACCTGCAATACCCAGACCTAGCGCACCACCGTGTTGGATGACTTCGTCATCCGCTCGGGTGAATTGCGTGTTCAGGTATTCCAAAGCCTCTGCGCCGTGGTTGGCGTAGATCAGTCCGTAAGCGTAGAGAGCACCACCCTGGCTGAAGGCCGACCCGCCAACCGATGTAGCTCGAGGAAGGTATGGCTCGAGGATCAGCCTTGCATTTGCCAGATTTCCACGGTGGATGACACCCAGCGCTGCGGTCGCAGAGAATTTGGACCAGTTGACAGCCTTCCCGAGCCATTCCAAGTTATCACGGAAGAATTTATCGTTTGTGGTGCCCTGGTTCATGAACGCATTGCACAAGGTGACCGCCGTGTGAAAGATGGAGTTTCGGCCCTCCAGGCTGTCTCTGACTCTATTCAAAATGCTCAAATCGGTATGGTTATTTCGGTAGAGGAATTCCAAGTTGAGTCTGATTGTCTCACTGCCGTCGAGAATGGTCCTTACTCGGTTGAAGGTTGCGTATTCCTTGTCTGAAATGTTGACGGAGCTCGGAGCTGGTGCGCCTGCGCTGTCCTTGAGTTCGCCAAGGAGCTGGTCGGATTCGGTCGCTGGAATGGTCAGTTGGTATCATTGGCGGGAGAGCAGGGAACTTACGGCTCCCGCTATTCGGGGCTGGCTGCTCGGGAAGAGACTTGATCACCTTGGAGAGAAACTCCTGGGTGCCGTTGTCATACAAGTCGAATGCGACTTGGTATGCGATAGCTGTGGAAGTTTGGTCTTGCTTGGCCTGCAGATGGTCAGCAAAGTCACCCGTCTTCTTCCACACGTCCGGTACATACCACCAGCTTCTTCAGCATTGTCGAGATATCCTCATCCTGGTCCAAATATACAGCACACTTGGCGATCGAGAAGTAATCCGGCGTGGGTATATCGCTTAGCAAGTCCAGGATCAACCGTAGTATCTCCGTTCGTAGGCTTCGTTCTTGTACGACACCCATGCATATGTCCAGGACGTATTCCATGAGCTCTTCTGTGGGACCCGGGACTCCCTCAGGCTGCTTCCCTCGGGATTTTCGCTCGTCGTCGCTGGCACGCTTGATGACCCGACGAAGGACATCCAGGTTCTCCGCTTCCACGGCGATTCCCACCACCTGTCTGTATCTGCCATCCCGCAAGCAATTCTCGAATAGTTTCTCAATGACCTTCTGCAGGAGAGCTTGTGTTGGGCGGTCCGGGACAAGAAGACCATCAGCGCCCGAGGGCTCCAAAACGTTCTCCGTCGAAGATCGCGAGAGGAGGGACTTCGAAGGAAGGGTCGACTGGGAGAAGGGGGTGGTCGGCGATGTGAGGCCAGCAGCAGACGTGTCTTTTCCAGCGGAGACAGCAAAAGATGTCGCCAGTTTCGGGAGGGAGGCGTCCTTTGCAGAGTTGGGGGCCTTGCGTTTCAATTTCTCGACGCGGATGTAGGTCTCCATGCATCGCGAGACGATCTCGTCCTCGAACTCGCCTCCGTTGTCCAGCTTGAAGAGGTCGCCGGCGCCCAGAGCAAAAGTCATGCTCTCATCGTAGGAGCCCAGGTGGTAGTAGACCTTGGCCAGCACCAAGGATGCCAGCTGTCGCTCGGGGAAGGATTCATCTTCATAGAGGGCCTCACTGCGATTGGGAAGGGGCGAGTCAGCAAGGCTCTGGTCGAGGAGTAAGATTGGAGACAGCAGATCTGATCTAATGATCGGCGGGGGAGGGGATGTGCTCAACTCACATCTGGCCTATGGATCCGGCCACCTCGGTCCACAGCGTGTCAATGTCGTCGTTCAGGGTCTGCAGCGCGAAGACCTTGAGCTCGGGCTCCTCGTCGGACAGGAAGCCCAGGACGCCGGATGCTGAAGTCAAGCCGGGCATGATGGGATGGGATGGAGATGAAGATGAAGATTTGGGGCGTGGGAGGGTATTCGCAAGGTTTTGGGGGTATTGTCGAAGTGAGGTGAGCTCTGCTGGTGGTGGTGGTGGTGGTGGGATGGATGGGATGGATGAAGTCGAAGAGCTGTTGATTTCGATTTCACTTTCACTCGCTCCAGGCCAGGCACAAGCTCAGTCGTAACCCAGGCTTGGCGTTTAGTTACTTGGCACTGAAAGGCCCGAGCTCCACTCCGATCGTGCCAAGCCCTTACCTAATCGGGCTGTATCGATATCGATAATACCGTAAATAACGTTTGAAGGCTAAAAACTGCATCCATAGTAGGTATATTTTACTGTAGATACCTCTCTTGTCCCTCTCGGTGCGCCATGCCACAGGAACAGGACGCACGCATATATAGCTAGCTACCTAGGTCGGGACCTAGCTTTCTGTCATCGCTCTTGTATCTATCTATCTACCTATCTATCTATCTATCTATCTATACCTGCCTACCTACCGACCTGCTTGTAGTTACCTTATTAGCAGCTGTGAAGGCGAATGAATGGAAGGCGCGAAGGTGCTGGCTTGGCTTGGCGTCGAAAAACATTTTAGAGCAGAGAAGGGTGGGTGAATTGAAACTTCCTCCAAATGATCATGATCATTCAAGATCCCATCGCATCGCCGACCAGACAGACCAGGAGCCGTGGCCCGAGACGCCTTTCCACGCTGAATTCACCTCCCTCCTTTCGCGTCGCATACATACAGACATACCGACAGTCCTCTCCAGTACCCGGCAGTTGCTTTGTAGGCGTGCGCGGGCTGTCGTCCGCCCCCCTCCCCCCCCAGACTCCACATCGCGCAGGGGAAGCAAGAGGAGGATAAATAAATACAATCGATACCAGATGAGCATCTCTGCAACGAGTGCCTCGGATCACTCGTAGGGTAGGGTAAGGTACCGGTAGGGCTGGTGGTGGTCCCCCAGGGCAGGGCAGGGCAGCAGGGAGGACAAATCGCAAACAGCCACCCAAACACCATGGACTTGCGATCTATTATCAACGTCGACGGCGGCGGACAGGATCAGCAACATCAGCAACAGCAGCAGCAGCAGCAACAGCAACAGCATCAACTGCCTCATCACCGGTCACAAAGCTATCAAAGCCGCCCTATCCAGCCGCCACCTCAACATGACTTGCCATCTCCTCACCGATCTTTCTCCGTACAATCCCAATCTCCGTATCAGCAGCGCACGCCCTCGTCGAACAGCCAATACCCCTTCCCACAACACCAGACCCAAACTCCCCCGACTCCTCCCCAACCGACCCAATATCCGCCTCATCTTCAGCAGAGGGAGAGCTACGCGCAATCCAATCCGTCGCCGGCCCATCTCCAACATCAAAACTCCTTCGCTCGACAATCACCCACCCCACAAACACCGCCAATTGGTATGCCCGGCGCCACACACCCGTATCTACAACACCAAAGATCAGTATCCTCAATCTCAACGTCGCCGCCCGCGTCTGCCAACAGCCAGCAGCAACAGTACTTCAACCAGTACTCCTCAGACAATCAAGCCTCTGCGGGCCCGTACCCAACTTCCCAGATCCCTCATAACCGCCAACCCTCCCAGCAGTCTCAGCCGGGCACACCACTCGGTCCCCCTTTGATACAGAGACAATATTTCCTTCAGCCTTCAAGTCCACACCAACAGCGAGGAATCCCGCCAGGTTCCTTTACCCAGCCCCAACAACCTTCTCCTGCTCCAGGTCCTCAGACTATACAAAGACCGCCAAGCACGCCGAGTGCCTACGATTCTCAAAGAACATCAGTGAGCGATCAACCACAACAAAGGAGGTCACAAAGCGAAAGGGATAGAAGTCTGAGCCTCAGTCCCAAGACACGACTACCGAGCCAACCACGAGGGGAGGCTACGACTCCAAAATCCGAAAGGGAATATAGTAATTCAACGAAGCGCAAGATGGACGACCGCGAGCTCTCAGTAGAAGAACCGCGACCGATGGGGACTCCTAATACTCGGCCTTCCGCTAACGGAAGTCACCGCATGCTTTCTATATCCCCACAGCAGCCCGTGAAAAAGCGAGTGCGGTATACCGGGCCGCCGATCTGGGCACAGAGTGTCCGCAAAAAAGCCATCGCGCCCAAGATCAACGGGAAGCAGAATATGGCCGTGCAGCCAGTGAATGCCCCCCACCCTGGAACGAACGGGACACCGCAGCCTGCTCCTCGTGCTCATGCTGCTGACGGCAAGGCGCACCCTTCGGCGTTGCTTGGTCCATGGGAACACAGTATCACTGGAGTGAAGCCGGTGGAGCAAATCACGAAACTCGTTGCAGACTATCTATACGTGAATGTCGTATCCCGAAAGGATCTGAACGAATTGGCGAGTAGGGGTGTGGAGATTGAGATTGAGGCCAAGCTGGGTCACATCATTGATAGAGAGACCAACGAGCGGTATCGCCTACCAGTCAGCTCCGAGTGTGTCCTGCTGGATAATGGAAGAGTCGGTTTCAAGAGCTCGATGACTGAGGTATGCTCACCATGCCGCCGTGTGCTATGAGCGTCGCTGACAATATGCCAGGCCCAACATCGCACACTCAATGAATTTTTGAATGCCGAAGTTCACGACGCCCACCCGCAAAATCCCTCTTCCGCTAACAAAAAACGAGTCGAGATCAAATACAAACATTCGCGCGAACTCGACAGCTTCTACGAACTCCCCAAATCCATGCATGGCATAATCCCCCCCGCGCTCAGAGAGAAGCTGAATCCTTACCATGGCGTCAAAGTCCGAATCACGCACGACCAAAAAACTAAAGAGCTGAAAGCTAAGATCATCAAAGCTCGGATCTGCGACCTGGACATTTATAGCCCTCAAACCCCCATGGATTGCAGGATCAGTATAAATTTCGAAATGCGGTTTGATGGGGAACTCGAAGATCTGGGCGAGCGGTCGGGGCCGGACAGGAACAAGGATCGTTTGAGCTACACGCAATCTATTTACCAGATTGATCTGACGCAGGTCACCCAGTTGTCTACATCTACTGTAAGTTCCCCGGTGTCCAGCATCAATTGCGTGGTTCTGACATGCGTGTGTGCAGACAGGGGCTAGCGTGCCGACAAAGGAACATGAGCTGGAAATCGAGCTGTCGACAGCTGCGGTCAGGGATCAAGGCCAGAAAGCAGCCGCTGGGGAGGCGAACGAGTACCTCTCTCTGGTAGAAGGATTCATAGACAACATGCGCGTGCTCTCGAGGGCTGCTCCGGCAGCATAGTAGAACACAGCACGGCCTTGCTTGCCACTAAAAAAGGGAGCTAGGAAAATGGTTTGGCTTAGCGGGCGTGGTTGGTGACTGGGGGATCGGGGGGCGTCAAGGGGAAGCAGGCAATTCACATGGCTCGATAAGCCAGCCAGCGATTGATTGAGACGATATAGATGATGGATGAATGGTATGGATGTATGATTACAACGAACAAAGATTGAGAGAGAGCATAGCCTAGTTTTGTCTTCTCCTACTGACTGACTAATACCTGCTTTTCCTCTTTTTGTGCACTTGCGAAAGGCCAAAACACCTGCTAGGAGTCGTCGAGATCAAGTACCTTATTTACGCGAGCTTGGGCGGCCTGCATGTTGGTCATGCAATATCGGTATCGATGAGCTTTTAGCAGACGAGGCAGTCATAGGGCCATACACCGCAGTGAGTAGCTACAACTCTGCATGATTGCGAAGGACAGTAGGTATCCCAAGGTTATCGAACAAGAGTTCTTCACTTTTATTGACAAGGAGAAGGCCAAGAGTAAATGAATCTTCATACTGTGGATCGATGCAGGTGTTGAAGCTGATTCTCCAAGTCTTCAAACATTCCTGCCTGGCACAAGGCAGATAGATCTCCTACCCGTTACGTGGACCCGTTGAATAGAAATCATAGAGATATCGAAGGCAAGTCAAGAAAGAGTATTTGCTTTCACAGTAAGCGAGCTCGCTAATTTCACGACACTTTCGCATTTCCTGCGGACCTCGAATTGAAATGTCCCTGACTGCGATGAACTGCTTCTCGTCTATCGTTGGAAGGCCAAACATTCCATGCTCCCTAACGGTACCACACTTTCCCTCTCTTCGTCTCTCTGTCCCTCTTTCCTTTGAACCTCTCTCAAATTAAGTGACGCTCCTTCGTTGAGATTCAACAACCAACCACAACACTCGCTATCATGAAGGCCGCAACACTTCATCTAATCTTGTGCTTTGCAGCACTGTCCATCGCTCAGGTAATACACCCCTCCCAAACACTGCCTTATCATCCTCTTTATATTAACGAAGAACAGGACGGTGTAGTTGCCATCGATGCAGACCTAGGACTCGATATCTCCCTCGTGCGGTTCCCTAAGCTCTCTCGCCAGGTGATGGTACAAATCATGTTAACAACATCCGGGACACCTCGGAGCCCATTGTTCTACCCTCGACACTAGCCTCACTCTCAAGCTCAACAACGCTCGTTACCTCGACTCAAGCCTCAATACCGACTGCCACGCCAGACCAAGAGGGAGAAGATGATGTGTTACCAATTTTAGCACCATCATTTACTGGGCCGGTTCTTCTTCCTCCTGCTGCCAGTGTCGCCGAGCTCCCACCACCGCCGCATTCTGACAGGCCGGTTCCTCCTGGTCTGTTTTCCTTCCGTGCCATCGCTTTCCGAGCCAGTACCATTAGGAGTTTCGACCCCGGCCGCTGAGATCGTCTCTTCTGCACGTTCTGTCCCGGATGATAATGAATCGGCCTTGATAGAGCCAACACTCGCAGCATTCACACCGTCCATGACAACGATTCCAGCAGAGCTCCTTACCACCCCACTATCAGCATCGGCGCCATCGCTCCGCATTCCCTCTGACTGCCTCTGCCCGCTCTCACCAGCGGTCACAGCAACCATAACAGCGACAGCTGCGTGCCTCACTCCCTTGTTCACCCCAGCCGGAGGAGAAGGAGCGTGCACTGCAACCGTAACCGCAACCAAATCAGCTGCGTGCCTCGGTCCTTTGCTAACCCCGGCCGGAGGAGAAGGCACATGTGCAACCACCCTCACGAAGGTCAGAACAGTGGTGACACGGATCCGGACGACGAGTGTAAGGTACTTGACCAGGACCCAGGTGCAGACCAGCTGGGTCACCGCCACGGCGACGATGACGAAGAGATGTGGTGATGGACCTGAGCGTGGGCCTGGGAATTAAGTATATAAATCCTGGGCGGCATAGAAAATGAGGGCGGATATTCGATCTCGATAGATGTAAAGGAAACCTGATATGGGGAGATTTTCGTCTGTTTTGTCAGGCGGAGGATTATCCGGGGGGCTAGTGCCCTTCTCCCTGTAAATTATCAATCGGAATCATTTCACATCATATTCTGGGCTTGCACTGGAGATGCCTTGTTGTTTACCAATTCCGATTCCCTTTTCCTCCCTGCTTGCTTGCACAGTCCGAGCTCTGATCCCCTGTCGGTCCTGCCTATTGCCTGAAATCGACCGCAGACTTCTCTCGTGGTCATTGCCTTGTACCACGTAGGGCTAGAATCTAGACTCCTCAAGCCGTAGCGGTTCTTTCCAAAGCCCATTCCTAATCCCTTGACTCCATAGCTCCCATCGCTGATCCCATACCGGCATTGCATTCCTCGCTAGCCTCGTCGTCGACTCTTGAAGCTCTTAGCTTAGTCCAGCAATTTGGGCCAGTGATCAGGGACATTGATCAATGTCATCATTACTGCTGACGTCGAACGAAGGCGTGGTCTCCTGTGCAGCAGCTTATCTTACGATGGATGGATCGAGAGTGGTTGCAAAGGTACCGGTAGAGCCTTCCGTGGGTAGAATGTCAACAAGCCATACCGTCCTTTGGGAATGTACATGTCTTACCTGCAGACCAATCTCTTCAGTCAGCCTAGATCTCAACTACCGGTACTGGTAGCACGCCTGGTCCCCCTCCCCCCGCGCGCCCCCCATGGCCTACCTTACACCGGTATGTACCTCCCTGATCTCAGAAAGGGAAGTCGGAAACACATTGCCTATCCGGGTCACCGCATCTAAGGCTTGGAAAATCAGGTACTCGAAAGCTCCCTCTTACTCCTTACGAGAAAGGTTCACGTCGCTCTGCGGATGGTAGCTTGTCCGTCGTATATATTATATGACGATCAAGGGGCTACGTCTACTCTGATCGACGGCGCGGCGCGTGCTGATTTCCAGACCCAAAACGAGAATGTACGGCATTTATATGGACGTGCTACGCGTCGTAGCAAGGGGCAGCTAGTAGCTACGATCTTCAGGTCATTGCTTCGAGCCAAGAGGTTGTATGGGCACTGAGGATATAACTACCGGTAGCTAGCTAGGCCGTTCGTAGGAAATACTTGGGGCGAGGAATCCGAGCTAGACGTTGCAAGTTGTTATCTCCCTGCGGTATTTTCTTTATGTCACAGTTGAGGGTTGTGATAGTAGATGAATCATCACACGGATGGACCGTGCTGTGAGTATTATCACGTTGTTACTTCTCAGTCCGTTAAACGAATCAAAAGGTTCGATGCTGGAGGAATATATAAAAGTCTCTCAGGCGCCGAGCCTTACGCTCGAAGCGAGCGATGTCCAGATTCTACCTCCGTATTCGGGCTTCAGGTTATTAGCTGAACTCGGCGCTCGTACTGCAGCCATAGCGATAAGATCAGCCTCGATGAGATTCTCTTGCTTCCGAAGCGCTGGCTTGATCCGATCAGACTCGACTCGGCAAGTTTTGCTCACCCCTCGCTTTGTTATGTTCCATAAGTTCTCCATGCACGGCTAGACCATCTGCAAACATTTTTAATTTCAAGGACGACATCGGTATGTAGTCAGTCGTACAGTAGGAGGTCATACTGTCTCTACTGATCATTCAAGATCAGGTCGGCAGCTAGGTAGCGTGCGTGCCCACGAACGATCTCGCTAGATTCCACCTAAGGATAAGATTACCGTATCAAAGACCGTCAAGACCATACCGGTAGTCCTTGGTATGGAAATCGGCTATCAATTCAAGGTCCTGCGTCAGATGGCACGTACCATCATTTCATCAGGGGTGAGTAATTCTTGCTGGCACCAACAAATTCAAGAAAGATTCTCCGCGTTATATACTGATATCATGGCGCGTACTGCCATACCGCTTTTATTGCACCGGACAGTGTAAGTAAGTAGGCGATGCTCTCTGAATCCGTCCTTTATTAAATAAAGCCTTCTGGGACCTGAGCAAGCGAGAGAGGGAGAGAGCTCATAGTGGAGGTTCGAAATTTGATATAAAGCTGGTCAGGCCATCTCGCTTTGCAATCTTTATATTTACCTTTCAACTTTCTACCGATAAAAAAGCATGCACGGATCGATTTATTAGCACGCTGTAAATACTTAACAGCTCTTCTCGATCTCGTTATTCCTTTATTGAATATGTAAAATCAAGTTGAGACTAATAATGACAACATTGTTCGAATTTATTTTATTTTACATTTAGCGGCGATAGCCATTTAGTAGTACAATATCTTTTCCAGGATAAAGGTAAAATTGATCTTTTGCAGTAATAGGTTTGGCTCAGGAGGTTTTCTTTATGGTTTACGTTAAGAATTACACTTTTTTTTAACGTAGCTGCTGGCTGGCGCTAGTACTACGTAGCGGCTCCGCTATAACTTTAGCCGCGAAGCTTGCGGCTAGTCTTTGGCTTGCCGATGAGACCAATATCTTCGTAATAAGTCTTTCGATATGATTGCATAGCTCTCAGACTGGGTCGCATTCCAAGGCGAGAGGGAAAGTGTTCCCTTTTAGCTAGTATCAGAATATTCGCCACTCACGCGATCATTTGTTCGCTTGAATTCCATGCCCCTGATTTACTTAAGCGAGACCCTGAGTTTTGCCTTTCCGGACCTCCGTCGTGCAATCCTCGAAGGTATGCACTTATTAAATTTCCTATATAATACAAAGTTCCTTCTGCATCGCGTCTCCTCTTTATTACAAGGCCGGCTGAATCTTGCTATTCGCGGCATTGACCGCCTGCGCATGATCAAACACCAACGGCGTCGCCTCCTCCGCGTTGTTCATGTAGATCGTGAAGCCGTCGTTGGTACTACACCCAAAGCTCAACCCGCACAGCCCAAACTGCCAATACATGTCCGCCATGCCCTGTTCCAAGCTCAGCTTCTGCCACTCCCCCACAACCGCGACTCTCGTCTCGTTTTCCGGGGCCACTGTGCCCAGATTCGCGAGCCGCTCCGCAGGACCCAGCCACCCGTATTCCTCAAAGAGGACCGGCTTCTGCAACCGTTGCTGGGCGACGCCGTGATCGACAACCCAGGTGTTGGCCCACGAGACGGACTTGGACCACCAGTCCGGGTAGAGGTGGAAGGTGCCAAAGTCCATCTCGGGCAGCGCGAGCTCGGCGTAGAAGTCCCCGCCGTCGGCCCCATTGTACGCCCAATCGGTTGCGCCCTCCTCCAAGAAGCCGCCCTCGCCGCCCCAGGTCACCATGTGGTGCTCGTCCACGCTCTTGATGAAGGACGCTGTGTCGCGGTACCACGCTTCCAGGGTGCTTGCGGTGCAGCTGGTGCCGGGCGAGCGAGGCAGGTTCCGCGTCCCGTCCGCACCGCAGCGAGGCTCGTTCGCGAGTTCCCAGGCGAAGATCGCCGGGGAGTCCTTGTACCTCTCTACTACAGCTCCAACGTACGTCTTGAACGCGGCGATGATCTCAGGGGCGCGGTAGAAGTCGTCGTGGTATGTACCGCCTAGGTTGACGGTGTAGACATCCATCCCGCCGTAATCGGCCCAGTTATTTGTCAATGCCATGATGAGCTTGAGATCGTGGTCTTCCGCGAGCTGGACGATCTGATCCAGAACTTGGAGACCGTTAGGACCCGTGTTGATGGTCGCTTGGCCGTCTTTCCACGACTGAAAGTACACGGGAGTACCTTCTCCGTATTGCGGAAGGCCGCCGGGAGTATATGTTTCATTTTGATCGTTGAAGGCCCAGGTACGAATTACTCTCTGACCCGCCCGTCTAGCTTCTTTCATCGTTTGCTCGACGTCTGCTGGATTCTTTAGGGGGGGAAAAAACGTCAGCTCAGAAGCATGTTTTGAGAGGGGCTTCGTACATTGATGAACGGTAGCCAGTACGCGTTGCTCCCGGCGAAGAGGAATGGTTCGCCATCTAGCATGAAGTTTGGGCCTTGGGTATAAGGGAAACCTTTGGGGCGACTGCTATTAGATGTTGCGATGGCTTCAGATGCCAGAACGGCAAGAGCCGAAAATGCTATGAAGAGCTTCATTACAGCTACGTAGCCAGCTCAACTAAGCAATTCATCTGGATGAGAATTGAGAAGAGGGAATAAGGGAGAGCTCCGTGCGAGAGATCGAGTTTATACTTCTACGTGGCCCTGGAGACAGACAGAGTTCACGGAATGCGGCATCCGTCTCCTGAGCGCGGGGATTTCTGCAAGCCAAGGGTCCCTGAAGGAGGTTCAGAAATTGAAATTTCTAGACGCGGCAAAGGTACCGCGCAAACGCAGCAACATAGATCTCTCTTTCTCTCTCTCTGCCTGCAACTTAGGTTCTGAGAAGCATATATGGCGTAGTCCCGCCGGGGACGCGAAAGCCGTGGCGCCAGCATTGATCAGAGCCATAAGATAGAAAACACTGTCGTTATGAAAGCCAAGCAAAAGCTCCAGAACGGATGAGCAACAAGAAATAAGGGTATCACATACAGCATCCTGGCCTTGACATAAAGCCAAATTGTCCTGCGCAAGTCCATGAATCACGGAGAAGATAACTGCAAGAAGTGAGTGTAGTAAAAGAGAGATTGGACGAGCTTCGACTAATATCTGATCATGCGGGTTCTCGAGTGAGGAGAGCCTTGATCGGTCGGTCTACATTAAATCCTCCCATCGTACAGCCCTTTTCATCGCCGCGAAAAGAAAATCTCAGGACGAGACTCACAAGAAACATATTTAAGTTGAAATTTAGATTGAGTTTCACACGGGAAACCAAACTAGTTGCCTCGCAGCAGCACTTATATACAATACAAAAGGTGATATGCAAAAAATTAGCTGCCAATGATCATAAAGCCACTACCAGCAATGACCCCACATATAACCAGCGCAGTCAATATTCCAGCTCCAACCCTATCCCCCGAGGTTATCTTCATCTCGGTGAGGGCTGCCACATCCTCCGGACTGTCTTGTCCAGCGTTGACGTTCCCCTCACTCGTACCCGTGCCCGCCACCAGACTCTTCCACGGCTGTGCCTGGTCTACCAAATTACTCTGTATGACCTCAAGTACGGCCATCTGCTCTCCGACCCCTAGACTGCCGTCGTTTTGCTTCAGAGTCCATTGCAGGCCACACTGGGTTCCGCTATCCCCGGCCGTGCATGTTTGGATGGCCGCCATGGCTGACGTCTTGATCTCTTTCATGATACCGTCATGCGTGTAAGGGGCAAGTATCGCGGTCGCAGCAAGTTGGCGGGAGAAGTACGCCTTGAAAGACCGCTGATCGACGTTGCAGCTCTTGACGGATTCGCACGGCTCGTACATGATCCCCTCGGGATTGTAGAATAGCTTTGAAGCACCTTTGAGGCCGTCTATACGCTCTTTCCAGAGCGCGGAGCCATTGGTCTGGTTGAGTGTTAGCTGTCAATCGACTTCTCCTGGACGTAGGAACCTACGAAGTTGTACATGGTCGCCGCCCCCATGATGAAAATCCCGGTATTGTAAGTCCATTTGTTGTGATCTTTCTCTGTGCAGTTGTCGGTGTTCTGCGACCCATCAAAAACCTCATACTTCTCGTTGAGGAGGCCAACTGCGCTCATCCAATCCCACGTCTTCACAGCCCAGTCTGCATAGGTCTGGTTTCCGGTGTAGAGCGCTAGTCGTGCAGCGATATTGAACAGGCAGCCGTTCGAAATGCTATTCTTGTATGTGTACCCGGCGTTGAAGGGGAAAATCTGCCATCGAAGCCCGCCTCCGCAAGTGGTCGTATCCCAGCGGGGGATCTGAGTATTGAAGACTCCTTGAACCAGCGCAAGCCACCCAGGCTGCCCTTCTGGAGGATCTTCAAAACCGGTCTCCGCAGCTGTCATTGCCGACATACCCCAGAAGCATTGATCATCGTTTCCCAGCGTTCTTGTTTGATTCAGCGGCATGAAATCCTCATTGTCTCCGATCTGGTGCAGCAGGGCCTGTTTCGTAGTAGGATTGTATGTTGTGTCGCCTGTATAGTACCAGTAGTTGATCATGGTGCCGAACCTGCACATGGACTGTCAACACTCCCGAATCCTGCATTTCCCCCGTGGAGAGCTTACATTGCACCAGCCTCCCACCAGTAGTACGGATCGGGTAAGTTCCCAGGTGTGTCGCCAGTCCTGTTGCCCGTGTAATATGTCATCATGTCGTATGCCACGGTGCCGGCCGCATCGATGATCGATTGCCTCGAGTTGAGGTCCAAGGTAAGCGCCGCATCTGCTCCCGTCACGCATAAGCTCGCCGTATATATAACTGAACTCCACTTCATGGTATCGACTGTAGGAGGTGCCGGAAGATTAAAGATAGTAGATGGCTTGCCAAAGACCTCGAAGTTGTGGGTAGGATGAACTGGATTGACCAACTCCGACCTGAGATGCCGGTGGAAGGGTACGGGAGCGTGAAGAAGAGATGGTCAACGGTGGTGGTGGTTGTCGTTGTTGATGTTGTTTAGACTCACGTTTGACGGGTATCGGATGTGATGCAAAGCTAAAACTTGGGATGGGATCGTCTGGGGCGAGGGAGTCGGGCGACTGGACTTGGGACCGACTCTGGGTTGGAAGTTGGGGGGGGGGGCTGGTTGTGCCAAGCAAATACGGACCGCCTTCCAGCACAGCCATGATCTCTTCAGGCCCGCGTCGACTCGTCGTTATGAAGTGGCATTGTTTATTATGCGCAGCGCAGCGCAGCTCAGGGGACAGGGTGATCATGCCCAGACAGAGTCTTGGGGGTCTGAATTGGTAGGATCAGAGCCCTATCAAGAGTTTTGGGTGGGGGGCCAAGTGGGCGGAAATGGGATCTCGAGACGCCCGCTCGGTGTCTCACTCTGGGGCAAGCATCATTCGTACCGGGCTTTTCGAACTTGAAAGTACAAGTAAATCAATGGTGTGCATTGTTGGCTTGCTAAGACTGGCGATGGAGACGACGATGGTGATAAGTACTTATAGATGTTGGTGGGGGAGTTGGCGGAGAGTTGATGACGGGAGAACTCAGAACTCAGAACTCAGAACTCGGACTTCCGTAAGCTTCTTGGCGGAAAGTACCCGTCACGTGTACGTCACCCCTTTTTTGCTGCGGCGCATTACAGTACAGTAGGGAGAAGAAAGCGAAAGTGAAAAAATGACAGAATGGGAGGCAACAGCCACTACCTTTCCCAAGAAGGGCAGTCTACATACCGGTACGAAGTTCGGTATCAGATCCAAGAATCGGCTTCCTCATGGCAGGACTGAGCGACGGCAAAGCTCCCTTCCCTCGTGGCCGGCCACCTGACCCAAACACTGACCAAACGCTGCAGCATTTGGAGATGGACGGAGAACATCTGCCGGGAAGGCCGATTGTCTAGCACCACACGGCTCCTTGCCATAGAAAAAAGATCAGGCAATGCATTGAAGATACTCTATCATCGTCGCAACACTTCAACACAACACAGGCTCTTCCTTCTCCTGTTGTCTCGGGCTATTGTTGAGAACCAGTGGGAAAGATGGCAAGTGGTCGGGTGCATGAGCGCCTGGTTGACTTAAGCGATTCCTACCACCGTGCTTCTACTTCCTTCTTTCCACTGCTCATCTACTTGGTTTCTAGCAAATGCAGGAAATTCTGCTCGTCAGTTCTCGAGATCAACGAAATGTTCTGGGCCTACATGCTGCGCAGTCGTTTCCGGAAACACGGGCTTAGCCTTGACGAAGATTGGTATTTACGATTGATCAAGGACGATTTACCTGATTGATCGACCGCGTAGGGCAAGATCGCAATCATGGATTCATCTATTCTTGATCGGCCGTCCTTGCTCATCTACATCTCGGTTTCATTTCTTTTTTTTTTTTTTTCTGAGAACCTCCGTCTACAGATCGCCAAACCAAAATATCGGCGCTGGCTCCTACATCGAAGGCATATCTAGCGAGTGGCTATGAATATCCACCGTTGCTAGACGGCCGTCTGACGAAATTTAGCTACGCGTGGCATGGCTGAGCTCGCTCTCTACTGTATCAATACCCTTTTTTCGGAACGGGTCAATCGCCTCCGAACCCCGTAACCAAGCAGCAAGCTGATATTATCCCGATTCCCGCTCGCAACACTCCCTAGAAGTAGTATGATCAGTTCCAGGCGCATATCTGTGCTCTGTCTGCAGGTGAAGCAAAAGCTTCTTTTCGATATTTATAAATCCAAGCCTCACTTTAAAAATAACATGAGACGAAGCGGGACGAGACGAGACGAGACGAGACGAGACGAGATAACCGGGCTGAAGTCTAATTGACTCGCTACTATTACAGTCTAGTCGTGCCAAAGTCTTCGCCTTGTAATGGTCATTGTCATCTGATTTAGCGATTTACTGAGATGGTATAATCCGATGGCAAGCCGATTTTCCAGACGTGCTAGTCGCATATAGATATCATATCATTGTGCGATTAAGATAATTTAAAGTTGCGATTCTTCGTTGGTAGAGCGGAAAACGTGACTTGGTGATATCGTGGGTCGGTTGGTCGGTAGGTAGTGTCTTACTAGCAATTCTAGAGATAGGAGGCCCGAAGCCGTATTTAATAAGAAGTTGAGCCGGTAGACGCTCTAGACTAGCCCAACTCTGCGTTTTGGTGTTAGTGTGGATAGGTAGCTGTTGATCGAGATTAAGAATGCCGTCCACCGAGAGTGCTTTGAATCAAGGCCATCCATCTGCTTGGGTTGGATTTCAGGAGAGCGAATACGTGTCGTGGAATATCAAGTGACGGGCTGCAGGGTATTAGCAGGTTGTTTAATTTTCACTCACCGATCTTCACCGATCAACCCAAACTAATCTTCCAAGCTTGCATCCAATTTCTCATCGTCTTCCTGGATCCTGATCCGAAGTGCCATATCCGGAGTGTCTATGTTGTTTCGTAGCCACAAGCAGTGACATGGTCGTAAGCGCTCGCCCGCTGGCACACACTTGACCTGGTAATCCATTGCAGCGGGGACGTCGTCGCCAGCGTGCAAAAGTAATACGAAGGTGTAAGTACGGTAGGTAATGGAGATCTGGTTGACGAATCGCGCCCACACCGGGCTGAGCTCTCTCCATCCTCTGGCTAGCGCACAATATTATTTACGTGACGGATATTCGGGTCCCGGTATCTCATGGAAAGGCTTCGCGAGATTCGCGAGTCTCCCACCCCTTTACACATATTCGGAAATCGGAATGAGACAGAGAGAGAGAGAGAGAGAGAGAGAGATGCATGTTGGAGTTACGTACCGACAACTACATCTGCGCGCAATTGCGTCAGATATATGAAGGGGGTTTAATACCAGACGGGGCGGCCGAGTCAGAATCGAGACCTGGATATAGTCGTACACTTATGGAATTGCGTGTAAATACGGCGCGTATGCATGCGGTATATACGGAGCATGAACCACTACACTGTGATGAGGGTCTTGGTTGTCGGTTTCAGGTACCCGTGTCCGCGCGATAGAGTTTTGGCCATCGTGTTAAGGACTGCCGTACAACTTCAAGTATATGGGAGAAGATCTTGGCTCTGGAACGGCGCGCGAGACTGTCTCTTGAGGGAGAACAGTTTGTACCGGCCGGACTCTTGTCTTATTAGGATTGTTTGTATTATTAGTATTGTTAATATTATCAATATTATCTTTATTATCTGTATTATTTTTGTTATCAGTTTGAGTTTTATTATTAGTATTATCGTTGTTTTTATTGTTATTCTTCTTCTTCTTCTTTTTTCTTCATCTTGCTCCTCTTCTTCTTTCTCCTGGCAACGCTGATGGTCCGTCTACGGAGAATTGTTGAAGCGAGGCCAGGCCGTGGCTGTGTGTGTGTGGCTGATGATTCCGTCCCTTCGGAGCGGTGCAATAATCCGATTTCCGGATGCAAAAGTCGTGAAGGCTTGGCTTATTGCCGTGGCTTGGCTTCTCCGTATCGGACAGGGCTGGAGCTAAGTGGATCTCCCGCCTACGGAGGAAAAGGAGTACCGGTACCAGTACCGGTACTGTACTTCTACTATACAGTAGGTAAAGGGACTTTGAGTCCCCGTGCCCCGTGCCCCGTGACTTTGGTGCTGACGTCTTCTTGGCTTGTCCTCCGTCATAAATAAAAGGTAGAGTCCCCGGATCCAGTAACCTCGGTCGTGACGTCTGCTTGCCTTGCCAACCCCTCAACTGTTCGACCGACTGCCCGACTGACCGACTGACCGACTGACCGACCGACCGACCGACCGACCGAGCGAACCCTCCTCGACCTCTCAACATCGAGTATAAACGGAGGTATCGTGTCCGGTCACACCAATCCCCATAACCCCCGTCGGTCCTACAAGTACAGTCAGTCAGTCACTATGAAGATCGCTACCGTCCTGGCTGTCTTTGCAGGTACGTCCTTTGCTCTGGATAGAGTAAACCAAAGCAGAAGATCCCAACTCCCCTCCAACAACAGTACAAAGACAGAGACAGATCACTAATGAGCTGAATGACCAGCAACAGCCGCGGCAACAGCAGCTACCAACCCCTTCTCCCTCGCCCGAGATCTCTCCCCCCGAGCCGTCGTGGAACACGCCTTGAAGAGATCCTTTCCCAACTCTCCCTCGGGTGGCTACGCCCCTGCGAAGGTGGATTGTCCCTCGAACCGCCCGACCATTCGCTCCGCGCGCTCCGGCTTGTCGCCCAACGAGACGGCATGGCTCGAGCTACGCAGAAACAACACCATCGATCCCATGATCTCGTGGCTGAGTCGCATGAACATTAGTGGCTTCGACGCCGCGAGCTACATCAACACGCACCGTGCCAATGTGTCGGCGCTCCCCAATATCGCCATCGCCGTGTCGGGAGGGGGCTATCGGGCTCTCATGAATGGCGCCGGCTTCGTGGCGGCGGCGGACGAGCGAACTCTGAACTCCACAAACACGGGCCAGATTGGCGGGCTGCTGCAGGCAACCACCTACCTGGCCGGGCTCTCGGGCGGTGCATGGCTGGTGGGAAGTTTGTACACCAATAACTTCTCTTCCGTGCAGGATCTCCGCGATGGCTCCCCGAAATCCAACGTCTGGAAGTTTGAAAACTCCATCTTCGAGGGCCCTGATGGCGATGGGATCCAGCTGCTCGACACGGCCGACTACTTCTCCGACATCAATGATCAGGTCAACAGCAAGCGCGACGCGGGCTACAACGCTTCCATCACCGACTACTGGGGACGTGCTCTCTCCTACCAGCTGGTCAACGCAAGCGCAGGGGGCCCAGCCTATACCTTCTCCAGCATCGCTCTCGCGGATCAGTTCACCAGTGCCTCGATCCCTTTCCCCTTCCTCGTTGCCAATGGCAGAGCGCCCGGGACGACCATCGTTTCCATGAACAGCACCGTCTTTGAGTTCAGCCCCTTCGAGCTCGGCTCCTGGGACCCAGTTCTGTACGGCTTCGCGCCGCTCGAGTACACCGGCTCCAACTTCTCGGCCGGCGTCGTCCCCACGGGTGGGCAGTGCGTGCGCGGTTTCGACCAAGTCGGTTATGTGATGGGCACCTCCTCCAGTCTATTCAACGCCTTCCTCCTCAACATCAACTCGACCGCGATCCCCGCCTTCCTCCGCACCGCGCTGACCAACCTCCTGACCGACCTGGGCGAGGACAACAACGACATTGCGCAGTGGCAGCCAAACCCCTTTCTGAACTACAACAACGGCTCCACCATTGCCGCATCCGATCAGTTGACGCTCGTCGATGGTGGCATGGATGGCCAGAACGTTCCGCTCTACCCGCTCATCCAACCCCAGCGCAACGTCGACGTGATCTTCGCCGTCGACTCGTCTGCGGACACGACATACAACTGGCCCAACGGCACCTCGCTCGTCGCCACCTACGCCCGCTCCCTCAACACCGCCATCGAGAACGGGACTGCGTTCCCCGCCATCCCAGACGTCAACACCTTTGTCAACCTCGGCCTCAACAACCGTCCGACGTTCTTCGGATGCGACTCCGCCAACTTGACGGGCCCCGCGCCGCTCGTCGTCTACATCCCCAACTCCCCCTACATCACCTTCTCCAACGTGTCGACCTTCGACCCTGCTTACAACAACACGCAGCGGAACCTGATCATCCAGAACGGGTATGAGGGCGCTACGCTGGCGAACGGCACGCTCGATGCGGAGTGGCCGACTTGCATGGGGTGTGCCGTCATCGCGAGGAGTTTGGAGAGGACCGGGACCGCTATGCCTGACGTTTGCAATACATGCATGGAGCGGTACTGCTGGAACGGAACCACCGACAGCAGGACCCCCGGCATCGAATACACGCCGACGTTTAAAACTTCGGAGATCAAAGAAAATAATGCTTACGTAGTAGGACCGTCAATGTTCATTGTTGTTGCGGCCCTGGCTTCGGCCATGTCCCTGTTATAAGCTCGACAGTTCGGCTTCCCTTACGGCGTGCCGCTCTGCCTGCGCGGATGTAAGATGAGAGGGTGTAGTAGTAAACGGAAAAGGAGACACAAAATTTTGGGTTGGTTACGGGCTTTCTGCTTCTGGTTCTTTCGCTCGCGCCTGCATAGCCAGCTTCCAGCGTCCGTTTTGTTTTTCTTTCATTGTGTCTATGGCTCTGTTGAACCATATCATTTTTTGTCATCTTGGGTTCTTTTACAATTATAGATTTCTAGGCACGAACCGGCCGGGGCAGGACCAACTAGTTAGGATGAAGAATTATTAATAAGATTGAAATCAGAAGAAGAAGCTACGGTCGTTTCAAGAGCGCACTCAGACTTCTTGAAGTCATCTAGTCTGCTCGTTTGCTTACACACACACACATATATGATATGAAGGAGTTGGTAGAATCCAGAATGAAGAACGTGATAACAGTAAAAGTGACGGCGGCAACTTCTAAAGGATTTACCTCTCTTCTATAATAGAAAAGATGAGATCAGATTTCTTTTATGCATATATATATATACATATATATGTGAGTCCGTTCGTCTTCTTGGGTGTTTTTAATGTTTGTTATTTTTGAAATTACTACTAGGTCGTGAATATGTTTTGAATTAAGTAGCTGCTGACTGGCTGGTGATGGAGGCAGCAGCAGCCAAGGAGGAGGAGCTAAGGAGGAGAAGTAGCTAAGGAATAAGCCAAGTCAAGTTAAGCAACGTCGTCGCATCTTCCAAAGTAAATAGAGACGAAGAAGAAGAAGACAAAAGAAGGGGGAAAAAAAAACCTATTACAACACATCAAACTATTACGCATATCAAGTTCATCCCTTTTTGTTTTTTTTTTCTCTTCCCCTTCCTCTGATTCATGTTCAAGTCTCGCTCGCTCGCTCGCCCTTGCTCGCTACGTTAGTTCACCGGCAAATTCTTTCGCATCTGAAATGCATAGAGGGAGAGTAACGAATCTCATACGCATCCTAAACCAAACACCACACCCAGCCACCTGCCACGCCACGTTTCGGCTGCGCATGCCACGCGAGGCAAGGAGTGGATATTTTTTTCTCTATCCGATTCGATTCCGGGGGGTTTTTTTTTCCCTTCGCTATTCGATTATTATTATGTATGTTTATATGTACATTGAAATGGGATAGGTGGAGACACGTGACCTCGCTTATGGAGATGGGGGGAAAGGGGTAGTGGGGGTAGGGAAGAAAAGGTATGTATGTATATGTGATGAGTAAGAAAAATCAAATACGGCGTAGGTGGATGGATAGATGGATAGCTGGAAGAATGGATGAAGTCTGAAGTCTGAAGTTTGGAGTTTGAGACAAGTTTCGTCTCTTTTCTCTCTCTCTCTCTCTCCTTTCTCTCTATCTTTTCTATACAATGCGATCAAGCGAGTGGGTGTTGCGAGTAGGTGTTGCGGGAAAGCACTCAAGGCTAAGCGGGTTTGGACTCTGGAGCTTCAGAGACGCAGTTTGAGAAAGCTGGCTGGCTGGCTGGCCGGCTGGCATCGTAATGTATTGCCGGTCGCAGGTTTGCAAAGTTCGGCGCACTTCCAAGTCCTGACGTTTTGGATGCGAGCACCAGGCCACCGAGCGAAGAAGGACAACAAGAACATCAGACGGAGGAGAAGGCAGAGGTGATATATAACTGCCCTTGGCTCCCCCCCATCTGAAGAGAAGGCAAGATAAGGACAAGGAGCAGTATCTTGGAAAGATCTACTTGCAGTCGTTATTTTTCTTTTACACATTCCTTCTATTTTCCTTTCCTTTGGAAAAACCACTCTGAATACTTTATTGAATTCTTTTCAATCTTTGTTTTTCCCATTCCAAAACTTCCTCGCTCTCGATCTATCGATTTTCATCGATCCATATCGGTCGACCTACATCCCGTGCTGGACATTTCTTTTTAAATCTCGATTTTATCCTCTCGATCTTTTTTTTTTTGTTCATCTTTCCATCTATCATCCATTTATCCTCGTCTATCAAGTTTCTTATACACGCTCTTTAAATCTTATACCGAATTTTTGTTGTCTTTTTTATATTCCTTTTTTTTTCTTTTTCTTTTTTTTAGAGAATCTTTTCCTCCCGACCTTTTTCTCAGCTGTAACCGACAAGAATCCACGCAGATTTCTCTTCTCAATCAAAAACCATCACTATGAAAGGCTTTCTCTTCGTCGCCTCGCTTTCGCTCGGCGTGCAGGCAGTTTCCATCCCCATGGGCAAGGTCTCCAAGAGGGCGAATTACGACATGACCACAGGTACGCACCATCTTTCCTCTTTCCTTCCAGCTTTTCTCGCCCAGCTCGATCGGGGGGCCCGCGGTGGGACGTACGTGGTGGCTGACTGACTGACGGTGTGCGTGTACGTAGCGAACACCAACGTCTCTACCAATGTCGGCAGCGAGTCCGGCATCGCCACCCTGGCCGACGCGTCGCCTGCGCCCTTGAGCGGCGCGGGCGGGGCCAATACTATGTCGGAGATCAACTCGGTCGCCGGCAAGCACAAGCATATTGGGGGGATGGCGGCTCTGCTCGGGGCGTTAGAGGAGATGATGGGAAAAGGGTATGTTTTAGTTTCTTCCCCCAACCTCCCGTCTCTCTTTCGTCTTCTCGAGATTCGGAGGCCTTCTGGAGTTGTCCAAGTTGCGAAACTCCTGAAGCATGGAGTTGTTCAGAGTTGACTTTGATACAGTAAGAAGCATAAGCCAAAGAAGCATGGCAAGGACGGAAAGAAGCATAAGGGAGATTCCAAGCCTGGCAAAGAGCCAGAAGACGGACCCAAATCTGGCAAGGGAGCTCCGGGTGAAGGAGGGCCTGGGGAGGAGAAGCCTTGTCCTTGTGAAGAAGAGCCTGGAAAAGGGAAGCCTGGTAAGGGACCGCCAGGCGAGGGAGCACCTGGAGAGGGACCGCCTGGTGAGGGACCGCCAGGCGAGGGAGCACCTGGAGAGGGACCGCCTGGTAAAGGACCGCCTGGAGAGGGACCGCCAGGCGAGGGAGCACCTGGAGAGGGACCGCCTGGTGAGGGACCGCCAGGCGA